CACACACACACACACACACACACACCCTGAGGACACTGTTCACCTCCCCAGCCTGTGGACAAAGGGCACAGAATAGTAACCTCATATGAACACATGCGGACAGCAGCACCAATACCCACCAGGTTCTTACCTGGACCTTGGGTCCCCAGCTATCAAGTTTCCAAACTCCCCCAGGATGTAACCGCCCACTTTGACCAGGTTCTCATGACAAGCTGGTGCCTGGAGAGCCTGCAGGGCCACGGGAGAGATGAGCCAGCCACATGCAGCACTGAGGGAAACCCACTTCCACGTCATGTGTCTGGTCCCCAAAGGCAGCCCAGGACCCCTGCTTCCTGAGCCATTGCCTCACTTCATCTAGAACTTCCTGACCCCCAGACACCAGGCAGTCCTGTCGCTCTGCAGCAGAGATGCCAGTTAGGCAGCGACAGGCCACCTAAGCTTGAGAAACGAAATCCTGGCCAGGGAAGGGGGCGTCAAGGTATGGCTGTCATCCCTCCCATCACAACAGGGGGATCGGGCACCACACACAATCACGAACCGCCAGAAGAGGACCAGTGGCGCTCTGCAACAGTCTGACTGGTGGCCTGGCACTTGGAAATTATGTGGGAAGGTGCTCAAAGAAGGGGAGGCACACTGGGCACGGTCATCCCCACACAGAACACTGTGATTCGGTGCAGCAGTCCACAGGGGCCCGGCAGCATCCCACTGGCAGGCTCGGCCGCCGGCACCCACCTCAAACACGGTCTTGGCGGCGTAGCCCTGCACGTCGTCCCTGTTAATGACGATCTGGATGACACGGTACCACACCTCCTCACTGACGTAGTCACCCGCGATGCGGATCAGGTTCAGGATTGTGTCCACATACCATGTGTAGTCCACGGCATACTTCTCCGCCAGGATGGCCACCTTGAGCACCTGCACAGAGGCCAGCACTAGTGAACCCCACTGGTGGCCGTGCGTCACTTTTCAGACTCCTGATCCAGGACCCAGGGGGCTCGAGACTTACCACTAATGAAGGAAAGTCACACACAGCCCCGACAACCAGCCGAGAAGCCAGCCCAGGGCACAAGAGGCCAGGAGGAGTCCCACGAGCATGCACCTGGCAGGATCCAGACATCCCCCACCTCCCTGCTCCACCCGCACCCCAACTCCTGCCTGTCCCCCACAGTCCTGCTCCAGACCATCCCTTACTGCCATATTGCCTGCACCCCAGTTTTGACTCTTCCACTCTGTATTGCCTGCCCCCCAGGACTGACCATGACCCCCGTTCCTACCCACTCTCCTGCTCTCACCCCATGCCTCTAGCACCCACACCCCTACAGCAGTACTATCGTCCCCACACTAGTGACCATGGGTCCTAAGGGGTCACAGATACCATTCACGTCCCCTCTCACCCTGAGAAAGCCACACTGAGTCCCACCCCCTCAAGACCAGACACTCCAGTACATGGGTGTTGGGGGTTACAACTTGCAGGTGATTGGCCTGTCAGAGCTTTGCTGCGAGAGGGCCCTGAGCACCCCAACAGGAAGCCCACGGGCCTGGCCAGGCCCCAGCAGGCCCTGTGCGAGGCTGCGATACACTGTCCCCAGCCCTGCTGGTCCACACACTCACAATCTCCTCTCGGATGGAGTAGTCAGCAGTCTCCAAGTAGCCTAGCATCTCCGCCACGATCTGCGGGGCGTTGCTGCGGTCACACATGGCGTAGAGCAGGTCCACAGCCCGCTGGCGCACACTCACATCCCGCTCGGTCTGGGAAGACAAGGTGGCCACCTACAGGGCTGCTCCTGGAGAGCACAACCCCTGGGTGCTCACCACCCACACCCGCATGCAGGACAGACCCCAGGGGTTGTCAGCTGGGTGGGCAGCCCAGGTGTGTGTGGCATGGACATGCACCTTGAGGGCGTTGATGACGGTGTCGATGTGCGTCTTGACAGCCTCATGGGAGAACTCAGAGCTGGCCAGCGTGCACATACTCTCCAGCGCCAGGTACCGGAGGTTGGTCTCCCGGTGTTGCAAGAACTGGCCCAGCTGGTTGCAGGCGCGGACAAGCAGGTTGGGCTCACTGCAGAGGGACAGGTGGGCATTCCTAAGCATCCCTCACCAGCTGGCAGTGTGTCCAGTGATGGTGATGGTCAGGACGTAGTCACACAGGGACACCTCAAAGGGAGATAAGCAGCCCTACATGCTCTGAATGGTTCCAAACACTGACAGTTCCTGAAGCCATAGGAGGCTTCGTCACCCCCTGCACACAGCCTAGCGTCTATTACAGTGGAGGCTCCGTCACCCCCTGCACCCCCAGCTGAGCCCAGCACCTATTACAGTGGAGGCTCCGTCACCCCCTGCACCCATGGGACAGTCTGCACGGCTCACAGAGGAAGCAGCAGCTGCCACCAGGCCCTGCAAATGTACCAAAGCCTCTGGCATAAGGCTCTAAGTTTGCTTGTGAGGAAAACTCAGACAGCTAGACTTAGATTTGCCCGTCAGGCACGTGTATGAAGGATGGTTAAAAGCTGTGTCCTCTGTTAGAACCTCTACTTGGAATATTATTGCTTTTAATTTTTGACTCATGTACTTTTAACTTGTTAAATTTGTGTCTTCTAGGCTGCAACAGTTCCATGATACAGCTTCAAGGATATGAACATGTATGGCTAAGCACAATTGATAACAGTGTATCTAAATTCCAAAACCAATCTCCATAATAGTCTATGTGTTTCCTATTGCCAAAGGGGCCCTATAGAGTAGTGACAGATGATCTTCACCCTGAAACCTACAGTGTCCCTTTTCAGCAGGAAGTAGCTAAGAGAATACGCCATCCCCTTTTCCTTATGACTCAGGGTGAAGTCTCTCTCAGGGAGGAGTGATAGGGAATGGCAAGGGACACACTGACAAAGGAGATTAATCAGAACTGGCTTTGACAAGCACTGTGGCAATGGGACAATCAAAACAGACTTTCAAGGGGGGAAAAAAAGAGGAACGAAGTGGGGGGACAGAGAAAATAGTCCAACAATGAATGAATGGAAATACAAAATCTCTGTAAATGTTCATGAAAATTAATAAAATTTAATTAGAAAAAAAAAGCTATGTCCTAACTTCTGTAAAATTCAGGTAAAAACCCTCCAGACGGTCAGCTATGGTCAGTTAAGACTTGACAGTACAACGATGCTTCCTTTGCACTGTCACTGATGTTTTCCTTTAATAAGGAGGTATTGTCTGATAGTCAAAATCTGGCAGCTTTTTTGTTTGTTTTCTTTAAAGACTGCATTCTGAACAGTTCCTAAACTGGCTGGTATATAACCCAGACACTGGAGTGAGTAGGGGGCCCCACACTGTCAGAAGTGGTGCATACAAAGTAGAGGCAATGGTCACACCTGATGGACGTCCACAAAGTCTACTGCTCATGCCCCCAGCACCAGCATGGCCAGGCCCAAGGGTGGTCACATAGGCACCAGGTATACCTGCCTGCCTGGAGGAAGGGACTAAAAAATGCAGGCACTCTCCGCCAAACAGGATGGTTGCACAAACCAGAGGCCAACTGCCAGAGCCAGGCAGGGGCAAGAGGGCACATGCCACCAGGGAGGCTTGCTGGTGACTGTCCTCAGAGTGATCAGCTCCAGCACTGCTACAACAGCCATGGACTCACCAAACACTCTCAACACCCAGCAGCTAATGAGTACATAGATGCACATGTATTCACACAATCTCTGTAAGAGTGGATGTGTGTACACACACATTCATGTGCATGTATACACACCTGCACAGGCTTGAGCACAAATGCAAACTTACATGTATGCACAATCCTATTCATCTCAGTACAATCACGAGAGAATCAAGGCAACAAGAGGAAATGGTGGGCAGAGGAAAGGTACTGGAGTCAGGAAAAGGTCCCAGGATAGGTAAAGTCATGTGTTGAGAGCTCAGCTTGCAGCACCGAAGAGGTAGAAGAGAGTGTGCACAAGAAGACACAGAACAGGGGCCAGAGACACAGGGGCGGGGGGTGTATGTGAAGGAGGACGTGAGACACCGGGGGGAGGGAGGACGCGAGACACAGGGAGGAGGGGGGATGGAAGACACAGGGAGGAGGGAGAAGGGAAGAGGGGGGATGTGAGACATGGGGGAGGGAGGATGTGAGACACTGGGAAGAGGGAGAAGGGAGGACATAAGACACGTGGGAGGGAGGACATGAGACATGAGGGAAGGGGAGGCACTGAGGGAGAGGCCAGGGAGTGGAGGAACTGAGGTCCAGGAGGACAGAGGCTCTCTGCTCTCCCTGGATGAAGCGCAGGACTTACCTGTCATGGTGAATAATGAGGCTGATGGCCTCGAAGAGTACAGCGTTCTTGGCATTGGAGTGCTGGACCTTCTTTGACTTGGGCGGCTCCTGGGCCTTGTTGAGGATGGTCTCCAGGCACTCAGTCAGGCGTCCCCTCACTGAGGGCTCTTCCAGGCAAGATAGGAAGTGTCAGCGGGCTGACCACGATGTGTGCACGCCCTGGGGCCCCACAGCATGGGAAGGCCACAGTTCCTGACACTCTGCCATCAACAGAAGCTTTTAGTGCAGAAGCTTTTTTTTAGCTTTTTTTTTTCACTCTGCTGTGGGCACCCTTGTGTAAGTCTCCACACAGCACTTACAGAAGTATGAGAGAATGGCTGGAGTTTAAAGAGATAGTACTCAAGGAAAATGTTCACCAGATTTTTCAATGCAAACCACAAACAGGATACTTTTACAGAGAAACAGATTAAATAGAGAAAGAAATAAAATCTCAGAGGTGTGGGTAACACACATGATGTAAAACTTAAGTGAAAAGTGTGTGTGAAATATTTTTTATAAAAGAAACAAAAATGTTATGACCAGCAACAAAAGGCCAGGATAAAATGAGAAAGGTCCACTTATAAGAAAACAAACTGCAGACCAAACAATTACAAGAACCAACTCCCCAGGACTTCAGTACACCTAGGGCAGCACATCTACCGAGAGGACGGTGCTGGCGTTGCCAGAAAACACACATCTGGACAGAGTGAGCACTAGCCCCACCTCGTCCACAAGCCCAGCAGCACCTGGGGCCTGGGCCTGGTGGACAGTGGGCTCAACCCGTGTTGTGCCAGGCCCCAGAAATCAGAAGGAAGGCTTCAGGCAGCCAGCCCTGCATAGGGCAGCCCTGCTCCTAGTGTGTGAAGTTGTCCACACAGAGGGGCCACCACCGTCCAGCTCTGCAGCTGTACAGCACAGAACAATAGCTGTGTACACTTCAGTATAAACAGGTGATTTCAGCATAAAGGTACTCAAGTTCGTTGTTATTGTTAGGTGCCATCAAGTGGAGTACAACCCACAGCAACTCTGTGAACAGAAGTGAATCCTGTCCTAGCCATCCTCACGCTTCCTGACACAATAGAGCCCATTGTGGCAGTCACAGTGGCAATCCACCTGGTCGAGGGTCTTCCTCTCCTTGGCCGAACCTCTGTCCCTCCGAACATTGTGTCTCTCTCCAACACTGACTCAGCAATCCCAGAAACAGCAGAGTGGAACCAGGTCCCGTCCAGCAAACCCACATAGCCTGGCCCAAATACTGACAGGGAAAGTCAGGCAGCCCAACCACACTGTGCCGACAAAGCACACCACCCCCCCAAAACCACCTTACACCCACCAACACTGAGTTAGCCCGACTCCTCGCGGGAGGGGACTCCTCGCCAGAGGGGACTCCTTGCTGGGGGGAACGTATAAACTCATGTATGATGGGGAGGGCTCCGTTCTGTCCTGACTCATTCAGAGTCAGCTGCGAACATCTAAGACGCCAGTTTCTTTGACTGTTCTCACTCGATGTCTCTGGTGATGGTGTTCTAGCACAGTCTCACATCGACTCAGAACTTTCTAGCTTGAAGAGACCCTTGGACCTCTTTGGAAATCATTCCCTTTGATAATATAACAAAAAGATATTCTCCATCAAAAATAAGTTTGATTAAACTTAAAGATTACAGCAACAAACCAACCTGTTTTAAGATGACAGTTTGGAATGATCTTAAAGAAACTCAATATGGGGAGAGGTGGGCAGGGAGAAAAGTACGAAAATGAATGAATGGAAATCCAAAGTCACTGTAAATTTTCATTAAAATTAATAATAATAATTTGTAAAAGTAGAAGAAACATAAATAAGATATACCTGCTCAAAAAAAACCCAAAAACCCTCAATGCACATTTTCAACCAAGTAAGTCTATTTCTAGAGACTTACCTTTAAGTCAAATGAACATTTTAGAACAATTCAAGAGCCCAAGGCAGAATTCAATGGCGTGTACTCTAAAGGCTACACTGATGAACAAAATTTAGGGGACTGTGTTGAAATTAATTCCTTTATGGGGCTATCACATTGACTGTTGGAATATCAAATTGGGAATCTTTCCCTAAGACCCTGAGTTAGCTACCTTTGTCCTAGGTCCCTACCTAGAGGGTCTGCTACTTTTGGACAGGTTGACTGGCACCTCTAGAATAGGCTGTCTTCTTGGACTGAGAGAAAACCTGACCACAGGGGTTAAGACCTAGGCTTGGCGTCAGGGGGCCGAAGGACTGGGGGGCATTGCTGAGAGGGAGGCCTGGCCTTAGGCATTAAGAGCAAGTCCTGGTCTCAGGGGTTGAGAGGTAGACTGGTTTCAGGGGGCTGCGAGCAAGGCCTGGATGGTTATGAGTTGCCGAGGGGATGGAGACTCGGCCTACAGGCATCATGACCATGAACCCAAATTATACCTTTAGGACTTTACTAAGCCCCATAACTCTAAATAAAGCCTGTGAGTTCTAAGTGTCATTACAACAAATTATGAAACCCAGCAGAGAAGCAGAGTGCCATGGGAGGGATGGCTACTGTCAGAATTGGTAAAAAGGCCTTGGAGTCACAGCTCTGACCCACTGCTGCTATCTCCATCGAACAGGCAGCTTCTAAAGGCGTCCCACTTTATTTAAGATCCGAGTCAAAAGCAGCAACATTCCATTTCTAACAAAACTGTGACTGTTAGTAACTGCTAGGATCCAAATCCCGGAAGCTCAGACAGGCAGCCATGCCTATCACACAAGGACCAGTGCCAACTCAACTGAGACAGGCCTGAGGGCCAGGCTGCGGCCGCATTGCTTGTCTGCTACTCTGCATACCTGGGGGCGGGTAGCACTGCAGCAGCCGCAGGAGCTTCACTGACAGCCACGGAGCTGGCACGAAGTAGTAGGTATAGTCCTGAAGGTCCGTGGACGCGGACGTCACAATCTGAAGGGCAACACATACAGTGATGTACTTGGGATCACACGCTGGACTTGGAGAAACATGGCCTTTCTGCTCAGGTCACACACGTATGCCACCTTCTGCATTTGAAACAAACTATTGGAACTATACCATGCAGAAACCAGCGCTGTAACTCAGACAGACATATGCACACCTCTTTTTATTGTTGTGTTATTCACAATTGTAAAGAGAAAGAAGCAGCTCAATTGTCCATCAACAAACAAATGGATAGAAAAGTTATGGTACATCCACACAATGGAACATTACACAGCAGTGACAAACTTATAAAACACTACACAACATGGGTGAATCTGGAAGACATTATGAGTGAAATATCTCAGTCACAAAAGGATAAATACCGCATAACACCACTGTTATCAAATAGTACTGACATAGGTGGTGGTGGAAAAATAGGAAAACAGTAGACAGATAAAGAACACTGCACTGGATGGACAAGGGGAAGAACTGCCTGAAAAGAATGCATGATTAGGTATTATATGCACGACAGTTAACAATCTGGAATAAGATTGCATTACAAAGTGGAGGGGGAGAAAAGGAGGGGCAGGATATGGACCATGAATGAATGAAAACCCAGCCTTTCTGTAAACTTTTGTTGTGGTTGGTTTTAGGGGTTTTCTGAGAGTTTTATTTTCATTCCTTTTTTCATTTTCTACCCCTTCCCAAGCCCTCCACACAATGTATACCTTGTTCCAGATTGTTGTCATACATGTAAAGCCTAACCATATAGCCCTTTCAGATAGTTCTTCCCCCATCGATCTAAAGAAGCGTTCACTATCTGTCCACTATTTCCCCCATTCTTTCTGCCTCCCCCATGTCTGTCCTATTTTATAACAGAGGCAACATTTGTCTTTTTGTGACTAAGATAGTTCACTCAGCATAGTGTCCTCCAGGCTTCCCATGTTGTATAATGCTTTATGAGTTCACTTTCTCATTGCTGTGTCATATTCCATTGTATGGATGTACCACAGTTTTTCTATCCATTCATTTGTTGATGGGCAGTGGGGTTATGTTAATCTCTTTGCTGTTGTGAATAATGAAGCAATAAACATGGGTGTTCACACACCTGTTTGAGTCATGGCTCTGGTTTAAGGTATATTCCCAGTACTGGAATTGCTGGGTCAAATGGTATTTCTATCTCCAACTTTTTGAGACAGCACCAGACCACTTTCCATAGGGCTGTACCATTTTACATTTCCACTGCAGTGAATAAGAGTGCCAATCATTCCACAACCTTGTCAGCATTTGTTGTTTGCTGGCCTGCTGAACTTTGTTATTGTTGCTGGGGTGAGATGATATCTCTTAGTTGTTTTGATTTGCATCTCTCTGACAGCCAGGGATTCTGAACATTCAGATGGCAAACAAACACATGAGGAAATGTAAACTTTGGTAAAAAGAAAGCATGAAGGAGAGTCACAGTACTGCTCAATGAGCCTCTTCAGGGCATGGGCACTGTCCTCAGAGGCCAGTGTGCAAGGAAAGGGCCACTGGGACACGCTCCCCCCTCACTCCCACGTGCTGCCCACACGCCCGTGTCACGCCTGTATTAATCCCGCGTGCTGTTCACATGCCTGAATCATTGGTGTACAAAGCGGCCACTGTGGCTCATTACAGATATGAGCTAAACAGCAACTTCTCTTGGGATGAAACAGGACCAGAGCTAGAGCCTTAGTTCTGCGCTGAAAGCCAGGGAGACTGCTAGTCCCTTGGAAGGGGCTCCCCATTCTTCTGCTGCCCCTACACCCAAATGCACAGCTTATGAGGACATCAGCCCAACAATGTCATTGCTGAACACACCTGATTCACCTCTGAATACATAGCTATCCCAGCAGTGTGCCATTGCCCACGATCTGCTCGTCCCACACTCTGTGTCAGGAAGGCTTGGGCAACACCCCTAAATCTCACCAGGACCATCTTTCAGGATCCAAGTGCAAAAGACAGCAGGGTCACGAGACCCAAGGTGCCAAGCCAAAGAAACTACTGCAAATCACAAAAAGGGCACCCCAACTCCATGTACGGAGAAGAGATTAAAGTTGTCAAGGACTTCATTTTCCAAGGACCCTCAAGCACTACTCATGCAACAACCGTCAAGAAATCAGGATATGGTGCACTAAGAAAATCCGGACCTCTCCACAGTGCTGAAGGGCAAGGACGCCAGCGAAGACTAAGGGAGACCAGACTGAAGCCAGGTCTCCCATTACCTGTGCTGCTGAAAGGTGGATAACGGAATAAGGAAGATGGAGGACGCAATCCCTCGGAACTGCGGTGCTGAAGAAGAATACAGCCTGTGCCATGGACTCCCAAGGAACAAACAAGCAGCCAGGGCGCTCCTCAGAGGCAAGGGTGGGCAAACTTTCTTGCATATACTTTGGCCAATCCTTGCAAAAAGACATCATGCTTGGGAAGACAGAGGGTCAAGAGAAGAGAGGGAGACCCTCAACAAGATGGACTGACTTAGTGGCTGTAACAATGGGCTGAGCACACTGGAGACTGAGAGGATGAGGCAGGGCAGGGCACGGCTCTTCTCTGCTCACAGGGTCGCTACAAGTCAGAGGTGACGCGATGGCCCCTGACAACAAGAGCTAGAGGGGAGGGGAATGCGGATGGACAGCAACGGGGCCAGGAAACTCACACTGCCTGAGAACAGGCTGCACAGACTATCAGTAACTGCTATCAGTAAGCTGGACACCCATCAAAAGGTGAAGTGGTAGAAGTTGTATGATGGTTATTATTGACAATAACTACACAAAAGACCAGCTGCTGAGGCCTATGTACAACCAAAACACGCATGAGATTTCAAAGTCTGGGTCATGATTTCAAAGCTCATCTCAGTTAACTGGTCTGAAAACACCCCAGGTGTTTCTGTTCCACCTCTTGGTTTGCTGTGTGGCCAGGGGTTTTAAAAGTTGACAAGCAGGGTACAACCACTGGTCTGTATTTATTTGGTATAACCAAGGACGCAGCAGCATTAGGAACAGGTAGAGGGAATGGTGTGGAGGGATGGACTGTGGAGGATGGACTGTGGAGGAACGGACTGATTGGTGACTGACTGCCTCTCTTTGGATCAGGGCTTCTACAGGAGGATTGTGATCAAAGGGGGAAATGGAGGAATGCACAACAGAGTATCTTCTCTTGACTCCAGCCTTCTGAGCCAGGGCACCATGTCAACAGCTGATTTTACTGCCCTGAGATAATCTTTAAAACTTAACCAAAAATATATACCCTCAATGCTCACAAAATAAAAAACCATTAAAAACCATCCTCGAGCTTCCTGCTCTTCCGACGCGGCCCCTGTGCGGCAGCTCAGTGACAATGGCACTCGGGATTGCCGAGCAGCTCCAGAGCAGAGGGTTCAGGGGTGGCGAGGAGGTCACAGCACTCAGCGCCGACAGCTCCAGGGGCTGCACTGCAACTACCAGCTGCACTTGTGGAGGTTCTCAAAATCAACAAATCCAATCTTTTATAAAGTCCTCAATATCTGTGCCATTCTAAAGAAGTGATCTAATGTGGAAATTACTAAACAGTATCATTAACATCTCACCCAACTAAACTTTTATCATAGATCATTTCAAAACAGTTGCAGCGTTTATAAACAGAAATCTGCCAGGAACTCAAACCAGATTCAGAACAGGACATGGAATGACTGCTGATGTCAGATAGATCTTGGCTGAACGTAGAGAATACTAGAAAAATGTTGTAACTGTGTTTTACTAACTATGCAAAAGTATTCAACTGTGTAAATCATAACAGTGTATAATACTGCAAAGAATGGAAATGGCATAACACTTAACTGTGCTCATGTGGAATGTGTACACAGCCCAAAAAGCAGTGATTCAAACATCACAAGAAGACATTGCACCTTTAGGGTCAGGAACAGTACTCATCAAGTCTGTGTCCTTCCCCCGTATCTCTTCAGCCTGTATGCTGAGAAGAGAATCCAAGAAGCCAAGAAAAACTTATCAGGAAGGAGAAGGACTCATCAACAGCCTGACCGGTGGAAATGCCACTGCCTGGCTCACTGAACGTGAGGAGCAGAAGGTCAAAGACGATCGCCTTCGGTAGATCAACATAAAGAAAAATCTTCACAATAGGACCCTAACACCCTAAGTAACAGAGAACAGATTAAAGCTGTCAATAATTTCCTTTTACTTGGATCGAATCAATGTCCTTCGAATCAGCAGTCAAAAACTCAAAGTGTTGCACTGGGCAAAACAACTGCAAAGGACTTCGTTAAGGTGTTAAAGAGCAAAGAGGCTAGTTTTTGATACAAGCATGATATTTTCAATCACTTCATATGCAAACAAAAGCTAAGCTATGAATAAGGAAGGCCAAAAAAGAATCGAAGCCATTGAATGACAGTGCAGAATGAAGTGAAGAATACGCAATATACCATGCACTGCCAGAAGAGTGGACAGGCCTCTGAGAACCTCTTTAGAAGTCAGGCTGCCAAGGCATTGGCTCATGTACTCTTGGACATGTCATCAAGAGGGCTCAATAGCTGCAGAAGGACACCACACTTGGTAAAGCAGAGGGTCAGTGACAAAGAACACTCTCACAGGATGGCCTGACCCAGTGACCCTGAGGGTGCTGTGAGACAATAAACTTGTCCATCACTGCACACTCGTGCCAGCCAGCTGCCCAGGCCCCTGCCAGGTGCCCCATGGCCAGCCGCTCCATGTGTAGGTGTGTGCTGCAGAGATCAGACATGTGGACACCAGCAGCATGACCCCCAAGATCCACCAGTGGAAATGAGCTGGACACTAGCCAGTAACATGCTGGGCGGGGGAACCGGGACACTGTCAAACAATGGAGTTCCACTCAGCATCAACACTGAGAGCATAAGTCAAACACAGAAGACATACCCTATGAGCGGCCAGGAGACAGGTGGCAGGAAACTGCTTGCCCCAGTCAGCCCACACTCAACAGCAGTGCCCTCTGCTGGAGGGAGAGAAAGGGCCTCCAGGTGCTGGCAGTGCCTTCCTGCTGGATCTGGGCAAGGTCAGGGTGCTCACTTGAGGGCAAATCACCACATCCTTGCTCTGTGCACGTTTCTGCCCACCCACATCTCACAGTTCACAAAAGTTTAGAAGGATGCCAAGGAGCCGTCCTTCACAACTGGACCAAACACCTTGCCTTCCAAGAAGGAAACTCCCACACTCACTGAGTGAGTGAGATAGAGACCCGGTCCCGTGCTTCCCTGTGAACACACTTACTCTGCTGAGTCTGGAGACCGCCAAGGAGACAGACGTCTTGAACTCTTCCGGGTTCTTCTGCGCTAGTGTGGTGATGAGACTCGTGGCTGCGGTCACCACGCCCTGCAAAAAAAAAAACAACAAAAAACAACCACACAGATGTACAGATGTGAAGCTTCTCTCTTAAAAGCACTCACTTTCTAAACGACAGCCCCCACCCAGCAGTCACACACATGAGTGCCCTCTTCTCTGACTTCTCTGAGCACTGGGACCTCACAGGGACACAGAACAGGCTGGAGAGGCAGCGGGGAGCAGGCCCACTGTGCAGTTAGTTTGCTATGCATCTGGAAGTTGGAAATGAATAAGATGACAGAGGAAGAACTGATGTATTTCAGTTGTAGTGTTGAAGAGCCCTGAATATTCCATGAACAGCCAAAAGAACAAACAGATATGCCTTGAAAAGGTACAGCCAGGGTTGCTCTGTGGAGGCAAGGATGGTGAAAACTTGTCTTACATACTTTGGACATGTTGTTTGAAGGGGCCATTCCTTGGAAAAGGACATCATGCTTGGAAAGAGGGAGGGTCAGTGAAGGAGAGGAAGGCTCTCAGTGACTGGGCTTGAGTGTGTCAGGGATGATGAGGACAGGATAGGCTTCAGAGTCACTGTTCATAGGGATGCTTTGAGTCTTATTTGACAGCACTTAACATGATTATAGAGAGCAACATTATCTTTGAGCTGAATTGAATCTACGTAATCCAAAACTGAGATTTTATAAAAACTGCTGTTGAACCAGAACTCTTAGACACAGCTGACCTTCCACTGTGTTCCTGAGGCTATAAGCTGCAGGGAAGAGAGACTGAACATTTTTCTACCCCAGAGCCACTGATGGACTCAATCACCACCGAAGCATGGCCATGGGGCAGCAGTGAATGTGGACCTCCCTGAACAGCAGCCCTCCAGCTCCCTGGGCAACCCCCATGGACTGTAGTACCCAAGCTCCCTGATGCACCCCCCTATGGACTGCAGTCCCCCAGCTCCCTGATGCACCTCCTGTAGACTGTGGCACTCAAGCTCCCTGATGCATCCCCTGTGGACTGCAGCCCCCAGCTCCTGATGCACCCCCCCACGCTATACCACCTCAGCTCCTCCACCTTTGGAGAAATGATCCAGTTGAGGTCTCTATGACCTGTCCCCAGTCTGAACAGCTGGCTGAGGGGCAGTGTAATGACATCTCTCCTTGCACCTGCCACATCTGGAAAAAGCAGGTTCTCTGGCAGGTTGAAAAGACTGAGGAAAAGGGGTCGTGCTCATGAAGTCTGAGAACAGGAGTGGGTTTGCCCAACAGGCACAAGCTTTAATATGGGCTGTGACAAGCTGTCCCTGACTGGCTCGGCCTGGGCATCATGGCTAAGCACATCAGACCCCTTCACTCGAGCAGGAACCCAGTCCAAGCACACACCAAGTGCTGGTCGTTGAGGAGGTGCACCACACGGGACGTCCAGTCACCCATGGGCACAAGGTCAGGGGACGTTCTGTACAAACGCAGCAGACACAGGGCGGCACTCTGCTTCACGCTGTCCATTGTGTCCCTGAAAAAGATGGCAGTGATGAATGTCACTTAAAAAGACTGTCCACTGTGACCACAAAAAGCCTGCACACTGTCCACCATGAGGGCCACACACAGAGCCCGCCAGCCATCCATCGTCAGGGCCACACACACAGAGCCCACACACCGTCCACCACACTGTCCACCATCAGGGCCACACACAAAGCCCGCACGCCATCCACCAGGGCTGCATGCAGAGCCCACACACCGTCCACCATCAGGGCCACAGGGCCAGAGGACCCCCATCTTCACCACTCCCTCCCACGTCTGGTGAGGACATAAAAATTTCACAGCCCTGGAAGCACTGGCACCCCACCTACACTCACAAAGGATGAGGGGATTGCCTGCCCCTGGGCTCTCCCCTGAGGACACCAGCACACACGGCTGTGCCCTCTGTACCACAGTGGCACACCCCTGTCCTCCCCTTGCTACTCCTTCCAATCCTGCCGGGCTGCAAGCCTGGGCTGGTGAACAGTAGTAGCACTTAGGAGAGCAGCTCGACCTCTCAGAACCCCAGGCAACAGGAGAGATGGAAGCAGGTGGCCAGCCATCCAGGACGCAGGACAGGGGCCCCGTGGGCCGGTCTCTCAGTTTCGCGGTGTGATTCTCTGCACTCCAAGGAGGAACTTGTGTGAGAGTGTCTTCTGGAGGCACGTTCACACCCACATACCAACACACTCATATACAGCAACGCTCACACCCATACACATTCACACACCTACACATCCATACACAGCCACTCTCACACCTGTACGTTCACACCTACACACCCATACACTGCCATGCTCATACCCATACACAGCCACGCTCACACCCACATTCACAACCACACACCTACACACCCATACACAGCCACACTCTCACTCATTCAGAACCACACAACTACACACCCACACACAACCATGCACACACCTGTACGTTCACACCTACACACAGACACACTCACACCCATATATGTTCACACCTACACACCCATACACAGTCACACTCACACTCATTCACAACCACACAACTACACACCCACACACAACCATGCACACACCTGTACGTTCACACCTACACACTTACACACACACTCATACCCATATATGTTCACACACCTACAGACCCATACACAGCCACACTCACACTCATTCACAACCACACACCTACACACCCATACAGAGCTCACACCCAGTCACACACCTACATACTCATACACTACACAGCCATGCTCACACCCACACCTACACAACCACACACCTACACACCCGGTCATACAGCGTACATTTACAATCACACATCTACACATCATGCCACACTCGTATACACTATCCCACCTACACACCCATGCACAGCCACACTCACACCCATACATTTGCACAATCACACCTGACAGCCAAGCTCATACACATGTGCACACTCATATACATTCACACACCCACCATATGAGCACATCCATATGCATTCACATTTACACACATGCACACACACTCCCGATACGCACATTCATACATACCACACACGTGTATCCATGCATTCATACTCAAGACATCACATATACACACACCTACACAAAGTTACCTTTTCAACCCCGACACAGTAAATCATATGATCATCTGATTCAAAATGTCCCATGCCAAGCCATCTCATTTCGCCAATACCTACTATGTCAATATTTATGCGTTCCATTTCTTTCTTAACAATGTCCAATTTTCCTACATTCATGCTTCTCACATTCCACATTCCAATCACTAGTGTCTCCTTACAGCTATTCCTCTTTCTCTGTGTTTCCTCAGTTTCAATTGTCATGTCTGTTAGTCCAAATGACAGTCTAAGTGTGCTCTATCGTACATAGGGTTTTCGAAGGCTTGTCATTTCAGAAGTGGATAGCTAATCCTTCTTCCTACTCTGTCTCAATCTTTAAATATATATAATAGTATCTGACAGACAAGCATTCCATAGAAAACAGATGAAAGACATTTGCCCAATTATAAAAATGACCAATAGATTCAATGTTGTTGCCCACCCCTGCTACATGTTGTTGTTGGTTTGTTTTGGGGTGTTTTTTTTATCCACCCTTTCCTTACTCCATCACCATCCCTTCCTACTTTTGCCTACAGCATTCAACACCCATCTCCCATTAACCAGCACCTGATGTGATGGCCTAAGTCTCATGCCATCCGGATTTCTGTGATTCTGAACATATCGTGCTGCTGCCAGTCTCTTATGATGCAGCCAATATGACTTCAATGTAAAGTTGTTAAGTACAACTGTGATGTACAACTTCTTTTCCTGGAAGGTTCTGAGAAAAAACGGGGCTAGTTTCATAATTAAAAAAGTCATTTCTAGATCCATCCTGAAATACAGTGTGGTGAGCGACAGGATAATATCCATACACATACAAGGAAGTCCGGTGAATACCACTATCATTCAAATATATGCACCAACAACTAGAGCCAAAGAGGAGGAAATAGAAGATTTCTACCAACTTTTGCAGTCAGAAATAGATCAAACATGCAATCAAGATCCACTGATAATAATGGGCGACTGGAACGCAAAGGTTGGGAACAGGGAATAAGGATCAG